TTATGGTCTTACTGGTCTATGACTGTAATAAAGATTGATTGATACACTCTTCGGCATTTGAGTGATCAGGTTGATTACAGCAGTGCCCATTCAACCTTTAGATTCTCTGTTATTCCTTTTATGTCCTACCTAGATTTCTGCATCATAGTATTACAGTCACACCATTAACATTCAGTTTGAAATTACTTGTAAATTTTAGTAATTTAGGGATTTTATATACTGTCTAGCCATTTATATTTTGACATTTTTAGAATTATATATAGTTTTATATAATAGTATACATCTTACATAGATTTATATAGTTGTATTTATCACTGATTTTGAAATTCCAAATATATAGATATATAACATTAATGGTATTGGTATATGCTTCTATATTTGTGCTACTTTTTAAACCCTAGTTATTCTTATAGTAAGTTAAACTATTAAGATAATGGAACAGCCTTTAATTTTAGCACTGAATGTAAATTTTGCAGGTCACTGTAGTAAAGGATTATAGGTAGTTCTCGAGTTATGATCATTCGTTCAATGACTGTTCAAAGTTACAACGGTGCTGAACAAAGGGACTTATGACCAGTCCTCGAAGTTCTGGCCGTTGCAGCGCCCCTGCGGTCAAAAAATTTGGGTGCCTGGCAACCAGCTTGCACTTATGACCAGTTGCAGTGTCCCATGGTCATGTGATGTGAAGGAATGTATCTATGAAGAGATAGCAACAGAGAGCAAGGCCACCAGGAAGGGAAAGGAGACAAAAGCCAACACAGCCCACAGGGGGATCACGGGAAGCATAAGAGGTTTAGGATAGCCACTCCCCAGAATCTCCCAGGGTATATCCACTAGTTGCAGGAGTATAGATTTAGTCTGGCAGGATTCTATCTATATAAGCAAATAAAGGAACTTAACTGGACAGTTTCACTGTTGTTTCCTGGACTGGGCCTGACATGTGATCACTATTTGCACCCTTCCCTGCCGGTTTCCTCCAAGCAAAATCAATGGGAAGCCAGCAAGGAAAGTTGCAAGTTGTTGGGGTAGGTCTCTTCCCCATCCTTGACTTTTCTCACTCGCATGCACTGCACTCTCCTTCCCCCGTTCGCTCGCACACATCCCATGCCCTCTTTCCCTGGCCTCCCTGCAATCACATACACAAATCCCATGCCCTCTTTCCATGGCTTCCCTGCAATTGCACGCACCCCCACACCCTTTTTCCATAGCCTCCCTGTGATCATACACATGTACATACCCTGCACCCTCTTTCCACACCCTCCCTACATCACACACATGCACACACGTACCCTGCTCCCTCTTTCCGCACCCTTCCTGCAATCACACACACACGTACCCTGCGCCCACTTTCCTTGGCCTCCCTGCAATCACACACACGTGTACACATAGCCTCGCCCTCTTTCCATGGCACACACACGCATATACCCTGCACCTCTTCCAGAGCCTCCCTGCAATCGCACACACCCTGCACCCTCTTTCCTCGACCTCCCTGCACTTGTACACATGCACCCCATTCCCTCTTTCCCTGGCTTCCCCATTCCCCACCCTTTCTGAGCTCACACTGCATCAAGCACCCCCTCCCCAATTTGCACGTGGCCTGCATTGGGCTTCCCAGGGCCTCCCCCAGCCCCCTGCAGTACTCCCACATTCCTTACCTGAGACTCCCTCTGCTTCCTGCTTAACAACCCACACGTCTGACAACTGGGACTGCCTGGATTGCTGTCACTAAATGATGCGGTCACATGACATCGTGCTTTACAACTGCATCACTTAGCAATGGCAATCCCAGTCCCAACTGCAATTGTAACTTGAGGACTACTTGTACTATTGCTACATATAAAACACTGACAATCAATTTGGATTGCAGGCGGATACAAATTATTATTATTATTATTATTATTATTATTATTATTATT